GGGGGGGGCCACGACGGCGGCGCGGCAGTCTGCTCACCTGGGCTCTTCGAGCGAGAGACAGTGTAAACTCGAACATTCCAGCTTTTCACGCATGTCAAGTGACTGCCCCCACCCCCACCCCCCTAGACTGCCTACACTCCCCCTGGCTCACGGATTTCCCGAAGTACGCAAAGATGCCAGGCGAGCAAAGCGCCGCGCCGCCGCGTGGCCCCCCCCCCCAACTAAGTTAGCACCGCCACATTTCCACTACTATATACACCAGTTTTCCCGAAAATTGCTTTATTCGCTAGTAAATACGAAAAACATTTGAGCTTTCGTTCAGGTCTGATTCTCCCATGCATCGTTCTCCTGTCGATTTCAACAAGTCTCTCCATCTATCCTGTTGTCATCGTGGCGTCTATTCTGCTGCGATTTCCCTCGCCACGAGAACGTTTCCTCACTATTGGTGGCTTGACTATTGGTTTCGCTACATTAGTTACCATCAACTGGCTCTTAAACGATATGAATTGGAGTTTTATTGAAGACACGTACGGATTCATGTGGGTTTTTGCTTACGTCAAATCCTTAGTGGGTGCAGTAGTCGCAAGAAGGAACAGGGCGCGCGGTTACGGAGCGACTCATGAACGTCCCACATACGTCTGCCAAGAATTAGCCTGAGCGCTTATGGTGTGATGTGATAGGAGGTCTATAGGCTCCGTAGCCGCCCGCTTCATTGTCATCTATTGCACTTACTCGTTTACGGCAGTGGTACTATTAAAAATAGATTGTCTGATTCCAGCGTACGCGTGGACGACCTGACCCCCAATGTTGGCCTCGTCTGGTACTTTTTTACGCAAGTTTTCGAGCACTTTCGAGCGTTCTACTTAATGGTATTTCAAATCAATTTACTGGTATATGTGGTTCCGCTTTTGCTGAGTTTGAGGTGAGTTCCTAAGAAAATTCCAATTCTGGCGCTAACTTTCAACGCCCTTTTTTTTAGAAAGGATGCTCATCTTCATCTGGTGATTAGTTTACTTTTGGTGGCTGTATTCTCGTCTTACCCCACTTTGAATGATGCATCTGTATACATGGCTCTACTTCCCATGCTCGAGAAATACCGAAAATGTAGGTCACATTGTCCTGAATCGAGGCAGTATGGTCTTTTAGATATCCGGAAACTTTACATAAAACCCAGTGGTGCGAACTATGGATTTATCGCAAGCCTTTTTTGTTAAAACTCACAGGCCTTTGGTCTTGCCACCTAATTATTCCAGCTGGCACTCGAATCATGGTAAAAGGGATATTTGCGACAACCACGCATATTTATTCGCCTCTGTACATCATGAGAGAAGTTCAATAAACAAAACCAGAGTGATAAATATTGTTGTCCCACTACGAAGCCGCATTGAAATTCAACAAAAAACAAGAATGAAAAATCGAACTGCTCCATTTTCAGATCCACGATACACTTTGATAGTTGCTGGTACTATAGTGACATGTGTGGTACTGATGCCAGTAATGTGGCATATGTGGATCGTTGCCGGTTCAGGCAATGCGAATTTCTACTTTGCGGTTACGTTGATCTATAATGTTGCACAGGTGGGTTGTTTTTTCCTCCGATTTGTTTCATTTGACCTTTGCCATAACCAAGAATCTATGGTGGGGTAGAGTAGCCCACGAGTATCACAGTTGTGCCGCCGTTGTCGCGGCTCGAAAGTGCGCGAAAACTGCGCTTCGGGCGTACAAAGTGGTCTGGTGGCAGCTGGTAAGAACATACGGACGAGATACTTAGCACCCCTAGCATGCAATGTGGATTACGACATAGCAGATAAGATAGCCGATCGGTAGAACACGGCCCTTCTTCGCTATCACTATCAATCGCTGTTACCTCACTAATTCGATGAGGCTTCAATAGATTGGAAATGAAAAAAAAATCAGCAATCAACTTTGGCGCCTTTAACGCACAGTGCTGATATTCAAGTGAAGAAAGTTGCTCCAGCTTTATGTAACGGAAACCAGTTAATTTCAGTACGGCGACTGAGCGAATGCTACCGGAAGATAGTTTCTATTGAAATGTCAACTAACCACCCTCCCCTTTGTGATATGCATTGCGTAGTCAGGTTGACCACTTCGTAACCCTGGACCCTGTTCATGCATCGCGTTTAAAGCGAAGTG